CCCCCCCCCTCCATTAATTAATGCATTGCTTTATTTACAGTCCAACAAATTGCGTGCGTCTCGTGTTGAATGTGTCACGAATGTGAGCGGCTCAAGTAAGGATGTCACACAGTGGGTCGGCTCCTACGAAACTGGCCCACCCGAGTTCGATTCCCGCACACGGCCACCAACACCCAGTGACTATTATCTGAACCTGTCCTGGGCCTCCCCCTAGGTCGACTCAACCCGAAATGAGTACCTGGTGCGGTGTGTAAAACATCGCCGTTCTGGAGATAGATGCGGCCAGGCGTGATGCTGGCCACCCAAACCCTTCCTCTGCCGTTCCGGCCTTCACAGGTGCTCGTTGACAGCACTTGCCCCAACAGTCTGTGGAGGCTATACGGGGGATCTTTATCTTTGTCAGTCGTCGCTCCAGTTGCGATTAGCAGAACCCTGCGACGTTCTTCCAGAAAGTTTATCACGTAGGAGGCTTTCACGACCAATATCATCCACGTGTTAGATCGCGTAAATGTATAAATGTGTCGTTAATCCCGCCACCACCCGATACAGCCAACTAGTGAGGGTTGTCACGTAAACAGAACGTGGCCAATTCGTCACGAGTACAGCACTAACCGGTGTGTTGGAGAGCCAAGCCACAACATTTACAATCTGAGTACGACGTTTCGTCAGTAATCTTCCGGAAAGCCGAGAACACCTATAACACCGATAACACCTATAACATCTACAACACCTACGACACCTATGACACATATGACACCGCGCCCTGCGTGTGCACAGATCAGTACGTGCATCGCCCGTACCGTGCGCTCTGTGGTGCACGGCACGTTGTGTACTGCGCGTGCACCTGGGCGCTTTGCCAATCCACTGCTGGATGAGGATCTATCCACGTCATGTCTGGGGCCGTGTCTGGATTATTTGAGCATACTTCATGGATGCAGTGTGTTCACACTATTCACCTGCCCTGCGTACATATACGCTATGAGTATATATACTGTTTATACCTCTCTGTGTATGCGCACATACGCAAAAGTCAAAGTTCCCCCGTATTACCTTAACATACTGTTGGGGCAAGTGCTGTTAGCGAGCACCTGTGAAGGCTGGCACGGCACACGAGGTGGTGGGTGGCCAACACCACGCCCGACCGCCAAGATCGGTTTAGATAATCGTCACCGGTGTTGGCTGTGAGCGGGAATCGAACTCGGTCCGCCGGGTTCGTAGCGCACCGTAGCGCTAACCGCTGCACCACCGCTCCCCACGCGCACACACACATATACACACGCGCACACACGCGCACATATACACACACACACCCGCGTCAACACGCGCCCGCAACGGTCTTGTAATTCCGCGACCACGTTGTGCCATGCGCACTCCGTAGGCCGTCACGTGCAGGAAATAATAAAATAATGATAAAATGATAAAATTCTCACGACGTTTCGGCGACAACGCAAGCAGCCGTATATTATGTTTATTTTTTATTATTTTATTATTTCCCTTCTACGTGACTTTACCGAAAGAACCAAGAATATAAATGACACTTTGTTTAAAAGGTCAACGGTAACTAAAATAAAGTTGACCATAATATTGTACCGGACGTTTGTGCGTTCCATAATTAAAAATGTTGTGGATAAAAAAAAAAGGATTCAGAATGACAAAAAGCCTCACTCGAAATCTTCACGTGGCACCGTTCGCCTGCCTTGGTTGAAAAGTAAATCAATTGAATAATTGTAACAAATATGTAGGAAACAAAAATTAAAACGACATCTGGTTATGGCTTTATGAAGTTCTTAGAATGATGAACTCTTCGATTTGTATTTCAAATTACATCCTCGTGGCCCCTTTTGAGCAACATCACTCGAGGTGATATCAGTCACTTCGTCGATAGACCGATCGACTTTCCGTGCGTAAGATCGACCGACTCACAAAGGAGCTGGAACGCACTGCTCACAGCGAGACGCGGGGAGGGTTCAGAGCCACGCTATCGACTGCAGGTCTCATCACAATCACTGCGCCAGTTTCACTACAGTCGTATTCATTCATGATTTCACAGAATTGTCGGGCAAGTGATGTTAGCGAGCATAGATCCCACCATAAATATGAGACACATTAAGAATTTGCGTTTGGCAGGCGCGCGCAGATACAACTAAAACAAAAACACTCACCAGCACAACCACCGACTCTGCTCTACAACGGGGAAAATATATATTGGTAGGCTGACGTTTCGAATAAAGGCCCTTGATCAGAGCGGGGAGATGAGAGGCATGGAGCTTGACGCACCGCAGTTGTGAACAGCACGTGACACGGGGCGATTCAACGGGCCACTCGAGTTGACAAACGCGCAGTTGTGTTCTTCATCGACGCGTGTGCAGTCAGCCTTTCTGTTCTCGAGGGTCAGTGCCCGAAACGTCAGCCTCACCTTTATTTCTCTTTCACACGTAAGTTTGTCGCAGCCGATATTTCTACTATAAATTTATTTAATTAATAAAACATTTATGTGGCCGAATAATCACGTGGCCTAACCCAAACGTCATCATGAATCACTGTGTGTATATATGTACATATACATAAACGAATATTCTGCTAAGGCAGTGCTGATGGCAATATATGGCGCGAGGTGCAAGGCCTCCTGGAATCGCGGCCGAAACAAATGAAACTCGTTCAACGCTGCACGTGCCCGATGATTGTTAAACACGTCTCACGTGCAGCACGTGCACGCGCACACACGCGCACGCGCACACACACGCGCGCGCGCGCACAGACATCTCAACGTCAACTCGATTCGCCTTTATTATTATGAACGTGAATGGCCGAGCGCGTCACGCGCGGGACGCGCTTAGCAATCATCGGGCGCGTGCAGCGCTGAACGTGTCAACTTGTGTTTGAATGGGGAGTGACACAGTGGTGAACGTCGCGTGGTGGTGGTGGTGGTCCGCAAGGACTGGAGTTTGGGGGGACCCTGTTCCAAGGGAGTGTTGATAATTTCTGCTGCGCGCCTTTCCCCACCCATTGGTTGGAAGCACCATGTACGTCGTTGATTGTTGAACTTCTTTCGCACCGTACCTAGCCAGCCTCGCTAATTCGGAGGTGCGGGGGAAGGACATTTGAATCCCCGTAGGCCCGGGAAACAAGCCCTGCCTGTAGGCACGAGAATGCGCGCGCGTGCGAGTTCTGTGTAGACTGAGTCAACGCATTCTGAGCGAGTCACAGCCGCGGAACCAACACACGGACACACGCACAGACACACGCACAGACGCACGCACAGACGCGCGCACAAGCGCAAACACACAGACGCACGCACACAGACACATACAGACACACGCACAGACGTGCGCACGGACGCGCGCACAAGCGCACACACATAGACGCACACACACAGAGACACACACACACAGACGCACACACACTTCACAGACGCACGCACACACATAGACGCACACACACAGACGCACGCACACACATAGACGCACACACACAGACGCACACACGCACACACACAGACGCACATAGACGCACACACACAGACGCACGCACATAGACGCACACACATAGACGCACACACACAGACGCACGCACACACATAGACGCACACACACAGACGCACGCACACACATAGACGCACACACACAGACGCGCACACACACAGACGCACGCACGCACACACACACACGCACGCACACACATAGACGCACACACGCACCCACACACAGAGTACTAATCACCCCATCCGCATTCTCCCCGACTTAGCATCACAATGTGGCTTATCGCGTGTTCACCCGCTCCGCAGCGGGGCGGCGCGCGCTCTCCAATAATCACAAAGTGGGGAAGGGGGGGGGTGAGAGGTGGGGGTGAGAGGTGGGGGGTGAGAGGTGGGGGGTGAGAGGTGGGGGGGGGGTGAGAGGTTGGGGGTGAAAAGTGGGGGGGGGGGGGGGATGAGAGGTGGGGGGGGGGTGAGAGGTGGGGGGTGAGAGGTGGGGGGTGAGAGGTGGGGGGGCGTTGCTAGGGGCTTAATTAAGGGGGCGGTGCACCGCGGGCAATTAATTACGCATCGCGCCATCGCTGGGAATCGCTAAACAATATACATTCACACAAAGACAAAGATCTCGACCCGGGGAGTCGTAGCAGCACAGACCCTTGGGGCACGTGCTGTTAGCGAGGCGCGCCTCTGCAGGCCGGCGCGGCACACGGAGCGGATGGGTGAGCAGAACAACGCTCGGCCGCCTTTGTCTCTCCAGCGCTGATTACACCACACCAGGTACTCGGTTAAGGCCGAGTCGACCTAGGGGATGCCCAAAACCGGTTCAGATATTCCTTCACGGATTTTGGCCGTGAGCGGGAATCAAACTCTGGCAGACGGGTTCGAGCAAACCGCTGCATCACCGCGCCTCACAGGCAAGCCGAACACATCCTCACGCAGTCCACAAGCAGCGCACACACCCTACACACACACCCACACACACCCAAACACACCCCTACACACAGCACACATAGCACACACACACGCCTACACACGCACCCACACACCGCACACACACCCCTACACACACCGCACACACACCCCTACACACACCGCACACACACACCCCTACACACCACACACACACCTACACACCACACACACCTACACACCACACACACCCACACGCCTTTCTACACACCGCACACATACCTAGACACCACACACACCTACATACCACACGAAATAAACAGGGCACACACATACACTATTGCACCACACACACACATATTAGAACCACAGAGATCCCCGTGTATCCTTAAAACTGTGGGAGCAAGTGCTGTTAGCGAGAATCTATGAATGCCGCTAACGACACACGAGGGGGTGGGTTGTGTTGGCCGTGAGTGGGAATCGAACTCGGGATACCCGAGTTCGTAGCGCAGCGCGCGAACCGTTGCACTATCAACACCACCACACATCAGCACCACCACTAACTACTCACCACCACTCACCACCACCGCTCTCTCCACCCCGCGCGTGCCCTCACCTGGGTATCCCACGGCCGAGTGGAAGAGCTCCATCCCGGCCGCTGAGAGGCCCATGCCGTTCATCGGGTAGGGCGCTTGCTTGATGAAGGCCATCATCCCAAGGACGTGGCCGCGCACGGACCACCCGCGCCGAGAAGGATCCACTCGTCTTTCCTCCTCCTCCTCTATGTGATGACCCCAGGCTGGCGAGGCCCGGCGATGGGCACCTGCGGTGGGCGATGGGACCGCGTGAGTCGCTCCATTCGTGGCATTGGGGCCGCGCGGGCGCGGCGCGGCGGTTTTAACGGCGCCCACATCGCGGCCGCTCCACGCGCACGGGGGAGGGGGTGGAGGTGTGGGGGGAGGAGGAGGAGGGGGAGGTGAGGGGGAGGGAGTGTTGGGAGTCAGGGTGGTGGTGGTGGAGGAGGAGGCCGGGCGTGGTGCTGGCAAACCCCACACCCCCCCCTCGTGCGCCGTGCCGGCCTTTCATAGGTGCTGCTCGCTAACAGCACTTGCCCTACAAGTCTGTTAAGGCTACACGGGGGAGCTTTGTCTTTGATGAAGTTGGAGGTTGTTGTGGGGGTTGGGGAGAAAGGGGCAGAGTTGGGGGCAAGGGGGTGGAGATGGCAGAGCGCCGTGGTGATGGTGATGCTGCTGCTGCTGGTAATTTGGCTGTGATGGTGTTGATGTTGGTGGTGGTGAAGTTGCTGTCGATGCTGGTGCCCGTGATTGCAATGGTTGCTGATGGTGAGGATGGTGCTGTTGGCGATGTTGCTGCAAGTGGCGGTAGCAATGTCGGTGGTGCTGGTTGGTAGGTGTTCTGGGGTTCCGTGCCGGCCTTAATAGGTGCTCGCTAAAATCATTTGCCTTCACAGTCTGTTAAAGGCCGTGAAGGCCTTTGGGTTGTTTTTGGAGCTTGTGCAGCTGCTGGTGATGATGGTGGTGCTGCCGGTAACGACAATAAAGACGGATCGGCTAAAGAATGATGATGCCGATGATGATGACGATGTTGCTGATGTTGGTAATGGTTCAGTTGATCTAACTCGGAGTGGGGACGCCGTGGGAGGGAGAGAAGGAATGCAAAGAAGGGCACCGCGGGGGGCGTGCGAATGAGAATGGAGTTCTGAGTTTTGGGATTTGCGGTGAGGGTGGTGGAGCGGTGGTGCAGCGGTTAGCGCTACGCTGCGCTACGAACCCGGCGACTCGAGTTCGATTCACGCTCACGGCCATCACCAACACCGGTGACGATTATCTGAACCGGTCCTGGGTCGAAACAATCCGTCGACCCAGATTTGTTGTGTGTAGCAAACATCGTCACTGGGGAGACGAAGGCGGCCGGGCGTGGTGCTGGCCACACACAACCCCTCGTGTGCCGTGCCGGCCTTCATAGGCGCTCGCTTAACAGCACTTGCCCCTACAGTCTGTTAAGGCTACACGGGGGATGTTTATGTTTGGTGTTGGTGGTGGATCGTGGTGGTGGTGTCAGGTTGTGGGGGGCTGGGTGGTTGCTCTCTGTTGCACCACGGGAGAGGGATTCCTCCAGTCCAGATGCTTCCCACTCCGACTCGGACAGCGGCACCCCCAGCACCCCCCGTGACCGAGCAGGCAAACGCTTTAACGAGCTGAGTGTTTGGCAGTAATTAACGAGAACAAAAGCCCCGACTGTTATTCAATTAGCGGCCGCATAATTACCCCGCGGGGGGAGCGGGGGGAGGGGGTCGCTGGTGGCTTTGGCTGCAGGGAGGGGAGGGAAGGGGAGGGGAGGGGAGGGCCCACGAGGGTTTTGGGATCCGCAGCGATGTTCTTCTTCTTCTGTTGAAGCCCCAAGGCGAGAGGAGGGGGTTGGATCAAGGAGGGGTCTGGGGTGGGAATGCAGGGGCCGAGGGGGGGGGGTGATGGAGGGAAGGAGGAGCGTGTGGTGAGCATTATATATGTCCGCGTCTTGACATCTCTATCGATTACTGAGCTCCATCGCTCCATCCGCCGTCGCTGCCGCCCGGGATGGAGTCGCCTCGGAGGCTGCCATTGCGGTGCGTCGGTGACTGCGATGCCGCGTCCCGTGCCGCACGCGCGGTCCGTGCCGATCGTGACGAACACTTCCCATCGACCGATCGATGGGAAGTGTTCATCCCGGGGTGTTTCCGCGCGCCCGTCCCGTTCACGGCGTCCGACATTCACTCGCGCCGCGCGCTCCGTGGGGGCTTCTTCGCGACCGGTCGCGTGGCGCGAAATAAAAATTAACAACAAAAAGAGAGAAGAGAAAACGTGGGACATTGACGCCGATCCAACACGCGGTCAAACCCCCCCCCTCGACACCGGGGACCGCTTCTCACGGCACGAACCGCGACCGCTGCCCACGCTGACGCACCGACCAAGGCGCTCGCTTCAGGCTGAGTCGACTTAAGGGAAGTCTCCACCAGGACGGGTTCAGGACGCCGCTGGCTCCCCATGCGGACCGCACGCACTCTCAGATGCGCGCACGCAGCCGTAATAGGAGCTCGCAAACAGCGGTCCCTACCGACAACGGAGCTGAGTAGCCGCAAGATCGTGCGGATAACTGTGTAGCGTGCACGCTCTCTCAGAGATGAGCGCTGGAGGTAGAGACGGGGGTAAGAGATGGGGGTAAGAGATGGCAGGTAAGAGATGGGGGTAAGAGATGGAGGTGAGAGATGGAGGTAAGAGATGGGGGTAAGAGATGGCAGGTAAGAGATGGAGGTAAGAGATGGGGGTAAGAGATGGGGGTAAGAGATGGGGGTAAGAGATGGCAGGTAAGAGATGGGGGTAAGAGATGGGGGTAAGAGATGGAGGTAAGAGATGGGGGTAAGAGATGGCGGGTAAGAGATGGGGGTAAGAGATGGAGGTGAGAGATGGCAGGTAAGAGATGGCAGGTAAGAGATGGCAGGTAAGAGATGGCAGGTAAGAGATGGCAGGTAAGAGACGGGGGTAAGAGATGGGGGTAAGAGATGGGGGTGAGAGATGGGGGTGAGAGATGGCAGGTAAGAGATGGGGGTAAGAGATGGCAGGTAAGAGATGGCAGGTAAGAGATGGCAGGTAAGAGATGGGGGTAAGAGATGGGGGTAAGAGATGGGAGTAAGAGATGGGGGTGAGAGATGGGGGTGAGAGATGGGGGTGAGAGATGGGGGTAAGAGATGCAGGTAAGAGATGGCAGGTAAGAAATGGCAGGTAAGAGATGGCAGGTAAGAGATGGCAGGTAAGAGATGGGGGTAAGAGATGGAGGTAAGAGATGGCAGGTAAGAGATGGAGGTAAGAGATGGAGGTAAGAGATGGCAGGTAAGAGATGGCAGGTAAGAGATGGAGGTAAGAGATGGAGGTAAGAGATGGAGGTAAGAGATGGAGGTAAGAGATGGCAGGTAAGAGATGGGGGTGAGAGATGGGGGTGAGAGATGCAGGTAAGAGATGGCAGGTAAGAGATGGCAGGTAAGAGATGGCAGGTAAGAGATGGAGGTAAGAGATGGAGGTAAGAGATGGGGGTAAGAGATGGGGGTAAGAGATGGCAGGTAAGATATGGCAGGTAAGAGATGGGGGTAAGAGATGGAGGTAAGAGATGGAGGTAAGAGATGGGGGTAAGAGATGGAGGTAAGAGATGGAGGTAAGAGATGGGGGTAAGAGATGGCGGGTAAGAGATGGGGGTAAGAGATGGGGGTAAGAGATGGCGGGTAAGAGATGGGGGTAAGAGATGGGGGTAAGAGATGGAGGTAAGAGATGGCAGGTAAGAGATGGAGGTATGAGATGGCAGGTAAGAGATGGTGGTAAGAGATGGAGGTAAGAGATGGCAGGTAAGAGATGGCAGGTAAGAGATGGAGGTAAGAGATGGCAGGTAAGAGATGGTGGTAAGAGATGGAGGTAAGAGATGGAGGTAAGAGATGGAGGTAAGAGATGGTGGTAAGAGATGGAGGTAAGAGATGGTGGTAAGAGATGGAGGTAAGAGATGGAGGTAAGAGATGGTGGTAAGAGATGGGGGTAAGAGATGGAGGTAAGAGATGGGGGTAAGAGATGGAGGTAAGAGATGGTGGTAAGAGATGGAGGTAAGAGATGGAGGTAAGAGATGGAGGTAAGAGATGGAGGTAAGAGATGGAGGTAAGAGATGGAGGTGAGAGATGGAGGTAAGAGATGGTGGTAAGAGATGGAGGTAAGAGATGGAGGTAAGAGATGGAGGTGAGAGATGGAGGTAAGAGATGGGGGTAAGAGATGGAGGTAAGAGATGGAGGTGAGAGATGGAGGTAAGAGATGGGGGTAAGAGATGGAGGTAAGAGATGGAGGTAAGAGATGGAGGTAAGAGATGGCAGGTAAGAGATGGAGGTAAGAGATGGAGGTAAGAGATGGAGGTAAGAGATGGCAGGTAAGAGATGGTGGTAAGAGATGGAGGTAAGAGATGGAGGTAAGAGATGGCAGGTAAGAGATGGAGGTAAGAGATTGGTATCCACGTGTGAGTCGCCAATTAAGCACTTGATTCAACATTTCCGAGTGCGTAACGGAACTAAGCAAACATTCCGGCCTTCACGCAAATGTGCCCCTTATCAGTAAAGCTTACCGTAAGTCTCGGGATTATTTTCAGGACGGTTCTGCATTCGGATGTTTGTCATACGAAAAAAAAATCATCACCACATTCGTCCATGACGCTGGTGGCTTTCGGATGACACGCAAAAAACGTCACGTTCGTGTGCTCTGAGGAAGGGCCGTTGCCCGAAACGTCACACACTTTATATTTGTTATCTGTGCTTCGTGCACCGCTGTTCGCCAATGAGCACTGAGAGCGGAGTACGCCGGAGAATCCTCACGGTGGAACCGCACAGATGGATTCACGAACACCCCTTGCAGCACTGCCACCTCCTCGCGTCTCGCGAGGCCACGTGATCCACCAAGCCTCGCCAGCCTGTGCGACTGCCTCCGTGACTGTGTGTGTGTTAGTGTGTGTATGTGTGTGATGTGTGTGTTAGTGTGTGTGTGTGTTAGTGTGTGTGTGTGTATGTGTGTGATGTGTGTGTTAGTGTGTTAGTGTGTGTTAGTGTGTGTGTGTGTGTTAGTGTGTATGTGTGCGTGCGTGTGTGTGTGTTAGTGTGTGTGTTAGTGTGTTAGTGTGTATGTGTGTATGTGTGTGTGTGTGTTAGTGTGTGTATGTGTGTGTGTATGTGTGTTAGTGTGTGTGTTAGTGTGTGTGTGTTAGTGTGTGTGTGAATATGCACGCTGTGTGTATGTGTGGCTATGT